GAAGAAAACGTCCGGACGGGTAAGAAACCAACCGCGGGCTGCCTTGGCTGCCAGGTGGGAGGGGATTCTAGGCTTCCTGAACCAGCTTCGGAGTTGGCCCACTGGGGAGGGATCCTCTAGGTCTCGGTAACAAATTCCTGGCGGGAGGTAGCGAACATCCACGTTTGAGGTCCAGAATAGCAATTCAGCTCGCTTTTGCGGCCTTGGCTGGAGCTACGTGGGAAAGGGAGCCCTTCCCTTTCGGACTGCCTAGCTGCCAAGGGCTGATCACCCCGAGCTCTCCTGTTCAGGGACCGTTCAGGCTCTAGCCCGCCTTACGGTTGGGGGGGGTTACTCCTGATTAGCCACTGGATTGTGGGGCTGACAGATTGAGAGATGGGTGCATGTCATTCTGGGATCAAACGTCCTGTCTCATCGGAAACACCTTTAGGAAGAGTACTGGCGGAATGGGGCAGGGTTGCGTCGCCGACGCAGGCCAGTAGGGTAAAAAATCGCATGGAGAGGTGGCCCACCAGGCCCTCAGCAGGTGGAGTTTCGTGGCCCCTCATGGCAGTCGGATCGCTGTGAAGGGGCCAAAGGGGCCGAACTCGCCTCTGCCTCATGCTTTTTTGCCATGTGCCGGAGGGAGGTGGAAGGGGGGTAGTTGTGGCCAACTCCTACCATGCAAGGGGAAGGTAACAAAGCCCCAACCCCCAGGAAACCCCCTCCAGACCCCTTCACCCTCTCCCTTTGGAAGAAATTGCTTGTTCCCCTACCATCCCATTCCCATTTCCCTTGCCCAATCTCCCCGGGGCTCCTTCCTTCCCTTCCCAACCCCTCAATTTCCCTATTCCCCATTTAGGATATGTAGCTGCATTTATATGCCCCTTCTGTTTTTCCGCCCCTTGAGGAAATGCACTAAGGGAACTCTTTGCTCTCCTCCTCTCCTGCTTTCTCCTGTGCCACCTTTTTCCTTCCTTCAGATGGGAAAGGGAGGCATTGCTCATTCCCTTCTTCACCAAGCTACTACAAATCCCTTTTCTTTCTAAATCTTCAGTGCCAGGCGCCTTGGACTGATTCTTTGGGCCAGCAGCGAAGGAGGAGCAGCTCGGGAAAAGAGGCGCCTCTCCCAATTCGGACTTTCATTTGACCAGCTAACCAAAACTACAAATTCTCCCGCTGCCACCTCCTCCCAAGCTCTGACCTGGGGTTTCAGCACAAAGGAGCGCCAGGGAAGCCTTGATCTAAGGACTTCCAGGAAGAGGAGCGACCGACGCGGAAAGGGGGGAAGAAAACGTCCGGACGGGTAAGAAACCAACCGCGGGCTGCCTTGGCTGCCAGGTGGGAGGGGATTCTAGGCTTCCTGAACCAGCTTCGGAGTTGGCCCACTGGGGAGGGATCCTCTAGGTCTCGGTAACAAATTCCTGGCGGGAGGTAGCGAACATCCACGTTTGAGGTCCAGAATAGCAATTCAGCTCGCTTTTGCGGCCTTGGCTGGAGCTACGTGGGAGAGGGAGCCCTTCCCTTTCGGACTGCCTAGCTGCCAAGGGCTGATCACCCCGAGCTCTCCTGTTCAGGGACCGTTCAGGCTCTAGCCCGCCTTACGGTTGGGGGGGGTTACTCCTGATTAGCCACTGGATTGTGGGGCTGACAGCTGAGAGATGGGCGCATGTCATTCTGGGATCAAACGTCCTGTCTCATCGGAAACACCTTTAGGAAGAGTACTGGCGGAATGGGGCAGGGTTGCGTCGCCGACGCAGGCCAGTAGGGTAAAAAATCGCATGGAGAGGTGGCCCACCAGGCCCTCAGCAGGTGGAGTTTCGTGGCCCCTCATGGCAGTCGGATCGCTGTGAAGGGGCCAAAGGGGCCGAACTCGCCTCTGCCTCATGCTTTTTTGCCATGTGCCGGAGGGAGGTGGAAGGGGGGTAGTTGTGGCCAACTCCTACCATGCAAGGGGAAGGTAACAAAGCCCCAACCCCCAGGAAACCCCCTCCAGACCCCTTCACCCTCTCCCTTTGGAAGAAATTGCTTGTTCCCCTACCATCCCATTCCCATTTCCCTTGCCCAATCTCCCCGGGGCTCCTTCCTTCCCTTCCCAACCCCTCAATTTCCCTATTCCCCATTTAGGATATGTAGCTGCATTTATATGCCCCTTCTGTTTTTCCGCCCCTTGAGGAAATGCACTAAGGGAACTCTTTGCTCTCCTCCTCTCCTGCTTTCTCCTGTGCCACCTTTTTCCTTCCTTCAGATGGGAAAGGGAGGCATTGCTCATTCCCTTCTTCACCAAGCTACTACAAATCCCTTTTCTTTCTAAATCTTCAGTGCCTTGTGTTTCTCCCCACCAGGAGAGACCCTGCCACTGATGTGACTCAGCTGCCTTGCAAAAGTCTGTCTCTCTCTCCCTCCCCTGGTTTCCCTGACCCAAGAGCTCTCTTCTTCTCCCCTTCTCTTCTGCGCAACTACAAAACCCATTTTTCAGAGGCAGACACCAATGTCCCTGCCTTTTCCTTTGTTTTCTCTTCACTCCCCAACTTCCCCTTTTTTTGCTTCCAAACCTCTCCTCCCTTTCTCCTCTTGCAAAGGGAGGTGTAAGAGGGGACCTTTCCTGTTCCTGTTTCCTCTTGCCAAATAAAGTTTTCTGGGTCTCTCTCTCTCTCTCTCTCTCTCTCTCTCTCTCTCTCTCTTCTCCGTCCCCTCCCAGCTTCCAAGAAGTCAGTATGCTGTGAATTCTTCCCTCTATCTCCCAGGGAAATCCTGCTGGTCCCTCTTACCTCCTTCTTCTCAAACCTAAAGGAAGGGATGTTCCAGGAGCATTCCCTCCTGACATTTCACCCACACCTATGGTTAAGTCTCTCTCTCTCACACACGCAGTCCCTCTGGTGCTTTTTTTCTTTCTCTCCTTCCTGGCCCTTTCTCCCTCCCCTTTCCCTGAGCGCATGTATGTGTATGTCTAAATTATCCCATTAACTGCCTTAAATATGAAGGGGGCGTCGAGGTCCGGGGGTCCCCTCTGTGCAGAGTAAAGAGCAACTGATCGAACTGTGGGACCCATAATCCACTCCTGCCGCTGAGGACAACTACCTGGGCGAGGTGAACAAGGGAGGTCTGTGGGCTTTCCTGTGTGGAACCCAGATGGCACAGGAAGATCCTAGGAGAGCGGGACCGGACCCCATGCCGCCCAGAAGAGACAGCCCCTCCTAGAGGCTGATCTGAGCCCCCCACGGGGGAATGCCATCGCAGGAGGAGCAACCAGGATCCCACAGCAACTGCCATGAAGGAAGGAGGCCCTGCCCGTTCCAGAAGCTGTGCAGAGGGGTGGCCCAAGGGAGACCACTGACGCCCCCACTAGGTATGAAAGTCTTTTTTTTCCCTTTTGTTTCCCCACTAACTACCCTTGGGCCGGGAAGGGGGGGGTGGGGGGGGCTGTAAAACCTTCTTTCTGACTGTCCTAGACACTATCCCTGAGTCTCTGTGATGATGGAGAGCCGGACCTGTCTGCGGCCCCCAGGAGGCGCCACGCCAGAAGGAGTAGCAAGGCAGTGCCCCATCTTCTCCCTCCCCCGAGTACCAAGGGAGGAGCCAGCGCCCCCAGGAGGCCTGAGGACCACTGCCAGATGGGAGAATTCCACCATGTGCCATCCTTCTCCATTGGGGATTCACTCAGGACCCCCGAGTGCCCCCCCGCTGACTGCCATCACAGGCTCCATCATCCCCTGCCTCCACCATCTTCACCTTCTTACTTCAGTCTCTTTCTCTTTCTCCAACCCAAAGAACACTCCGCCACTGGTCTCTCCCACCCTGCTGGGTCCTGTTGTTGTTGCTTGAGTTGGGCCCCAAAATAATCCACAGAATACAACCTAATCAGTCTAGAAAGAGGCCCTGGGTGCTTGGGGGGATTGTCGAGGCTTGAGGAAATGAGTGTGACCATTTCCCAGCCTCGAAGGGAGGATTTGATGCAGAGCATCTTCCCCCCCAAGCACTTGTAGTTTGCCAAGGGCCGGACGATGGATTCTGTTGCTTCCTGACCCAGCACACATAACTGGGTTCCTGTTTCCTCTCTGTGAATTCTCTGGCTTGTGCACTGGACCCTGGCCCCTGATCAGGGAAATGCAGTTCCCCAAAGGACATTGCTCCACTCTCCACCATTTGCAGTTTCTTTTGCGGACCTTTCTGCCCTCACTGATTGACTTGATGCCCTATCATCATGGACTTCTTCCACGAACGCGAAACCAAGCCTCTCGGGGGAGAGTGGCCCCCACCTGTGTGTGTGCGTGCCCTTGCAAAAGGCTCATACCTCAAGAACTCTGCTGATTGCCTTTATCAAATTGCTGTATTCTTCTAATAAACTTTGCTGGGCTGAGCTGGGGAACCCCTTTATGGAAAATATGGAAAAAGCATATGGAATGTATGATATGAAATCTATGAAATGTACCCTGACCCCTTCCCCACCTTTTTCCCCTCTTGAATTTTACCCTGTAAAAGAGTATGTGACCTGGGATTACAGTTAAGGGAATCCAATTTCCTTGGAAGAGACTCCATTCATATTTACATTGCATGGACAAATACTGGCAGATCTATGGCTTTGTTTTCAGAGTCAGACGAACAAAGGCCAGAAATCTGTCAGCCAAAGCCCGGAAAAACAGACTGATTAACTCAATCATGGTGTTTTGTGTACGCTCCCCTGAGACAAAGGACCCCCTTCGCCACAGGGTTGAGATCCAGACACCGCCCATAGACACCCTTATTTCCCTATACACATCTTTTATCGGAACCCAGGAAATCCCTTGTCTCCCCTTTCCGCCTCCCTGCCGTGCGAAGAACAAAGGGTGTTCAATCAGCTGGCGGACACCCCCAGGCATTCCGCCCCTCTGCGCTGTCAAAACTACATCCCGCCTCCCGGCCGGTGATTGGACAATCTCCGGAGGCGCTCCGAGAGCGCTCATTGGCCCCCTGGAGGCAACAGCGGCCGGCGATTGGAGGGGAGGCGGGACCAGCGGCCAAGCCTCCTCCCAGCTGTTCTGGAGCCGGCCAATCAGGGCAGGGGGGACTGACAGGAGGCGGGCGGGAGATTCAAACCAGGATTTCTTTGTTTCTTCTGTATAAATATGCCTGAAAATCAGTGTACCTTATGCTTATGGTGGAAATATCCCTGTAATGCATCTGATCTCAGCTGAATCACAATAAAAACGCCTCGGTCGCAGGAATTTCTCTTCAGCCTGGTGAGATTGATTTTTAATATTTTTTGCGTCTTTGGATTGGCCTCCGCTGGCAGCTCACCAGGGCCAGGACCCCATTAGCGGTCCTTAGGGACTCCCCTTGCAGGGAGAACCCTCCAAAAGGAGCTCGATATCAGCCTGATGAGCCTTCCACACACCATGGCTAACAGGCCTTTCATGGGTGTCCTTGTTCTGTGCAGAATGACACACACGGGTTTGGTAATATAGATTGCTATAAGAACTTCACATAGAGCAGTGTTTCTCAACCTGGGGGTCGGGACCCCCATGGGGGTCGCGAGGGGGTGTCAGAGGGGTCGCCAAAGACCATCAGAAAACATAGTATTTTCTGTTGTTTGGGGGTTCTGTGTGGAAAGTTTGGTCCAATTCTATCGGTGGGGTTCAGAATGCTATTTTATTGTGGGTGAACTATAAATCCCAACAATTACAACTCCCAAATGGCAAGGTCTATTTTCTCCAAACTCTACCAGTGTTCACATTTGGGCATATTGAGTATTTGTGCCAAGTTTGATCCAGATCCATCATTGCTTGAGTCCACAGTGTTCTCTGGATGTAGGTGAACTACAACTCCAAAAACTCAAGGTCAATGTCCACCAGACCTTCCCAGTATTTTCTCTTGGTCATGGGAATTCTGTGTGCCCAGTATGATTCAATTCCATCATTGGTGGAGTTCAGAAGGCTCTTTGATTTTAGGTGAACTATAAATCCCAACAACTCCAGCATTACCAAATGACCAAATCAATCACCCTCAACCTCACCAGTATTCAAATTTGGGAGTATTGGGTATTTGTGCCAAATTTGGTCCAGTGACTGAAAATACATCCTGCATATCAGATGTTTAGATTACCATTCATAACAGTAGCAAAATTACAGTTGTGAAGTAGCAACGAAAATAATAATATGGTTGGGGGTCACCACAACATGAGGACCTGTACTAAGGGGTCGCGGCATTAGGAAGGTTGAGAACCACTGACATAGAGGTTCTCTTGAAGACAAGTTCAGGATAAAGATCATGAGGTCTTTAATCCAGAGAGTGTTCACCTCTGGCCTTTCAAAAAAATATATTGGTTGCCAAATTGTTTCTGGAACAGAATTCAAATACCTTTTGATCTCTAAGCCAAGTATTTGGGAACCATAGTTATGGACACAAGGTATAATATACAGGCTCTGTTCTAGAATTCAGTGGTAAGGACAATGGAAATAAAGAACGGTGGGAGGATGGGAAGAAAGAGATGAAGACAGAGGGAAAAGAGAGGAAAGAAGGCTGAGAGAAGACATGATAGCCTTCTTATGTGAGGGGAAGTCATAGGGAGGAGGGAGCAAGCTTGTTTGCTGCTTCCCTGGAGACTAGGATGTGGAACTATGGCTTCAAACTACAAGAAAGGAGATTCCATCTGAACATGAGGAAGAATTTCCTGACTGTGAGAGCTGTTCAGCAGTGGAACTCTCTGCCCCAGAGTGTGGTGGAGGCTCCTTCTTTGGAGGCTTTTAAACAGAGGCTGGATGGCCATCTGTTGGGGTTGTTTTGAATGCGATTTTCCTCTTTCTTGGCGGGGGGTTGGACTGGATGGCCCATGAGATCTCTTCCAACTCTATGATTCTAAGACAAGATCTGGTGTTGGAGGAAAGTTCTGAGAGTGCCTTGGATCACAAGAAGATCCAACCAGGAAATAAAGCCCAATTGCTCATTGGAGGGAAGGATATTAGAGGCGAAGATGAAGTATTTTGGCCACATTATGAGAAGGCAGGAAAGCTTAGAGAAAACAATTATGTTGGGGTAAATGGAAGGAAAAATGAAGAGGGGATGATCAAGGGCAAGATGGATGGATGCCATCCTTGAAGTGACTGACTTGACCTTGAAGGAGTTGGGAGTGGTGACGGCTGACAGGGAGCTCTGGTATGGGCTGGTTCATGGGGTCACAAAGAGTTGGAAGTGACTGAACAAATGAACAAGACAAGACCTTTGAGAAAGCAAGAAGGTAAACAAAGGCCCCTTCCACACAGCTGAATAAAATCCCACATTATCTGCTTTGAACTGGAATATATGCCAGTGTGGACTCAGATAACCCAGTTCAAAGCAGATATTGTGGGATTTTCTGCCTGGATATTCTGGGGTATATGGCTGTGTGGAAGGCCCCCTGGAAACATCCAAACAGAAGGGACCTGAAAAGGGTAACCAGTCAAACACAAACACACATGCATGTCAGGCCTGATCATCTGATAAAAAGTCTGTATACAAAACACTTAAAATTACAACCTAGGGTAACAGACCATAACAAAAAGGTCCTGTTTGGGCAGATCATATCCCTTCATATAAATGTGCTTTCTCCATAATTTCACTCTACAGTATATCTGAGACAGGTGGAATAAGTGATATGGCTTTTACAGAGAAACCTCCCAGATGGTAGAATGGCCTCTCAAGAGAGTTACATCTGCTCACACTTAGGCAAGCCATGAAAACGACAGGCATTTTTAATGTTCTGGCTTTTAGTGTACAGTGATACCTTGACTTAAGAGTATAATTCATTCTGACTCCAAATATTCTTATCTCAAAGCGAATTTCCCATTGAAATGCTATTAATCCGTTCTGGACCCCCTTTCCCCCACCTCATTTTTATTGCATGTTTTTAAATAAGAAAATGTACTTTGTAAATAGCAAATAATAGATAAATAAACATGCAATAATAAAAAAGAACTTCAAAATGGTAGAAGGACAAAGTTGTGGCAAAGAAACACATTTGAGACAACAAAATGTGTGTTGGCTAGTGTAACCACAAGGCAAAACTTGCACATTTACATGGAATAATATAAAAAAAGAAAGATCAACTTTAAAATGGTAGAAGCAAAAGTTGTGACACAATAGTAAAAGCACAAAGTGAAGAGGCAGAAGCATTTTCTTCATACCATACTCATTCTAACCTCCTTTCCTCTTGTTCTCTCTCCCTCTCTCTCTTCATGAAGCCAAACATACCAGGAAGAAAACCACACAAAATCAACTAACCCAAAGTTCATCAAAGTGAACAAGAACAAAGTGGACAACAATCTTCCAAAGCAGACAGCGAATGAGGCATGAGGCACAGAGGCTGCTCCCAGCTCCCAAAACCATTATGCTAGCTCTTATCTCAAAACCCTGTTAATATGTCAAAGTGAAACCAGGCCTAGCAATAGCTTTTAACTCAAAATGCTATTAAGTTGGGATGCTCTTAAGTCAAAGTCCCACTGTATTTTAAACCTAAATTCCGCCTATAAAATCACAACCTTTCTTGTTCATGAATAATTTCAATATTTTTATAGTCCCCATTCATTTTACTGATACTTGTAAGGAAAAAAAGTCCAAAATGCACTGTCCTGTTGTGTATTTGTATAATTTCATCTGATTTATTTGATATCCATATTTATTTTGGTTGGGAGGATGATAGGCAATTGGGTTGATCAAGGATATGGTGACTATGCTCTGCCTTCTGTCCTTTTCCTAGCTCTTTGCCATACAAATGTAAACAATACATTGCGGTAAAGCAGTGGTTCCCAACCTTTGGTCCGTGAACCACCAGTGGTCTGCAATAACTAAAATATGGTCTGTGGCCTCACCATTATTACACCATTGCAATGAGAGCAATTACTCTTGTGAAACCCTCTTATAGTGCCGAGGCTTATTAAATATGGTTTTCTTTGGGCGAGCATGGCCACTACTGGATGGCATACGTTTTGTATCAGAAACTAAAGGTACAAAAGCTTTGAAAATTTTCAGTAGTGATGAAACTGTGTTATATTTTTGTATGCCAAGCACACACATAAATCAAATAACACAGGAAACAATAGACAGCAGCAATCTGATGCTAAGGTCTCTGTCAAGGGCTGACTGTAAACAGGCTGGGTCTACACTACCCTATATCCCAGGATCTGATTTCAGATGATTATAAAATAAAATAATAAATAAATAAAATAATAATATTATCTTATCCCAGTTTATCTGGCAGTGTAGACTCATATAATTCAGTTCAAAGCAGGTAATCAGGATCAGATCCTGGGATAGAGGGAAGTGTAGATCCAGCCTAAAGTAGAAGCAACCTTGATCATTGTATTTAAAGAAGAAACTACTCTTTCAACAGAAACACACTCTGAGGCT